CCTTCCTGCCCTCCATATCTGCCTGACTGATTTGTTAGACTCCGGGGACGGAACGGAGGATGTGAGTGTGTGTGTGTGTGTGTGTGTGTGTTACCAACGTGGGATTCAATCTAGAGAACTACCGCGAGCCTTTTCTACGCACACACATGTAACCGGGTCTTTGATGTGAGATCAGAGGCGACTATGATGCAGGTCGATCAGGTGCGCGGAGGGAAAAGTAGGAAGAAGGGAAAACGGAGGGAGGGGAGGCAGGAAAGATGGCCTCTGTTAAAACAAAGCGGCTGTTTTAACAACCCCTGAGCCCTGCACTCATTATAACCTTCTGTCTCTCCCTCTCTGCCTCCCGGCTTCCTCCAGCCTTGCTCTCGGCGCTGCTCGTGTGGGCCGATCACAGCAGGAGGACGCGGCGGCTACGAGAAATGTTATGGCTCGTGTTTCGGTGGAACATTCTGTTGACCGTCTGACAGGTGCTGATGGTCAAACTGCTTCCCTCCGCTACTGTAAAAGCCCGCCGGTAGACTCGTAGGAACCTCCGTCTTTCTTTGACAAGCCGTGTGGTCCGAAGCCACTTTCCGAAGATGCACACGTTTTCAAAAACACGCGGGACCACACAGTCGACGCACGATGAAAAACTTCCCCTCTTCTGAAAAAAAAGCTGAGGAGACTTTCCCCTCCTGCCAGGATGAAAGCCTCTTTTACTTGGGAGAACATTAGGAGAACAAACTAGCGTCACAACAGGAGGGGGAACAGTCGACCACGGCGTGCTCTCACATCAAACACAACCGTCATTAATATTGTAATGCTTCCTCCCCGAGTGCCGAAAATCAGGAACAAGAACCACCAGTGTGGTCAGCAACAGAGCTGCCACTTCAAAAACACACAGTGTGTTGCTTTCAGGTGATAACAGGAATCCTATGTTTTGACTTTTACATTCATTTTTTTCCTCGTTTTAGTTAATCAAATCATTTGTTGGTCCTAAATGTGCTTATAAAACATTTTTTTTCCTCCTGTCTGTGTTAAATTTACCTCCAGGTTTGTGTGCCAACATTTCCCAGTCGCCTTGTTCGTGTTTGCACCTTCTTATTGCCACATTACGTCAGTTTTCTCAATAAACTTTGTTCGTGACAGAACGCGCAAACACAAAATCACAGCGAACGGAGCATGAAAAAAAAAAAAAAGAAAAACAGGCATAAGGTGAGTGTGGCTGCTGGTGCATGGAGCGCACATGCCAGTCCGCCTGATAAGGAGTATACACACTGGGAATAATAGCAGGCAGCAGATACTATATGTGTATGCATGAGCATCGAGTGGTTGCTATTGATCTCCTGCGGTCTGCGAGGGGGATGTAAACACTGTGTCTTTCAACAGGAAGCTCCACTCAATACGAGCAGCCGTCAACGACGAGCTACACACAAAACACACGGCGCTGTTATCAAATCAGCGCACACGGCTCCAGTGTGTGCACGAGGCGCGAATATAGAATACAGATTACATGCACACATACAAAAATATGCACAAACATGCGTCGCTTGGTGGAAACTTTTCCTGTTTAATGACGAATACCTGCAAACTCCGCGATATTAGAATCTCAAAACCATTCCTTAATTCAGTTCACAGCAGAAATTTCCTTTAAAAAAAAAATCTATTCATGTAAACACAACAAACTCGCGTAAGCCGCGTCTGGAACCATCTCAAACTTCACCGCCGAGCTAATCCATGTGCCAAATCTAAGATGAATCTATGTAATATTGATTCTGTTCCAGCTGCACTAGTGCGCTAACAACCCATGAATAACCGACCGTGGAGGACACTTGGCCACTCGACGCATCTGGTGGAGAATCCTCAGTGTGTGTGTGTGTTACGCTTAAATGTTTCCCCTCTATTAACTTCCTCGAAGGATTTCTCGTCGCTCAGGTGTAAGTTTTGGTGAGAGCCTACTTGTCCCGGTGAGTGGAGTCGCCTAAATCAAAGGATTCTGGTTCTGATGTGGCAAAATTCATCTCGAATATTCGACGTCAGATTAAACACTTGCAGACAAGATTCAGCCTTTCAGTGTTTGCACAGAGACTCACACAGCTGATGAATAATCGCTGCAATATTTGCAAAACCAAAGTGATGTTAAAAAAAATAAAAAACTAGCACCGACTTCGACCGGATTATTCTCAAACAGCAAAAAACAAAACACGACAGTTCAATAGGTTGACTTTGTAATTTTAAAATGAATCACAGGAAAACAAACATAACTCCAGAGTGTAATTTATAGGCATGTTGCTGTGCATTTAGTGGTCTTTTTATATGTTGGCTCTGAGAACTTTCTTATAAAATGTGTTTTTTGGGTTCGGGCGCTGCTACAGTGGGTGTCAGCCAGCGGGCAGTTTTCTCCAAATTTGCAAAATGTCGTAATCTGTCATGTGAAATCACGTTTCATCCTGTTTTCGATGCATTTCAGCTCATGTCGGAGCACGCAAGTGTGAGCACGTGCTTGTAAATATCACTACTGTAAAGCAGACTGCCGGTCGTTTTCTCAAAAAAGGAAGAAGAAATTAAAGTTGTGGAGGGGGAAAGTTAAAGATTTAAAAAGTTTAATAACTGATTGAGTATTTCTCTGACAGCAACATCCACCAGTTGGACGTTTAAGTGCTGCATCACAACACAGGGGCTCTCAAACATCTGGCTCCAGTTATCACAGCTCGCACTTAGCTTTGCCACCACTGTGACACACACACACACACACACACACACACACACACACACACACACACACACAGCTTCTGGCCGTGGCGTGTTTTGCCACTCTACTCCTCCGGGTTCCCAACTCATGTTTCTGGTAAAGGACCATTTTAGTTCCAGCTCAGGCCTGCGGCGGAAAGCATCTCCCCGAGGAAAATAAGCATGACTCGCTCCAGTGAAGACATCTGCCCTTTGAAAGCGAGCGTGGCTGTTTGAACAGCTGTCAGAGCACACCGTGTGCCTCAGACCTTCCCTGATAAAACAGAGGCGAGTCTGGGAGGGAGAATCGACAGAAGAAAGACACTAAATGGACGGAGAGGGGAAGGCGGCCGCTGGCAAGAAGGTGCCCAGAAGTTTGCTTGTCGTCTGGACTGACAAGAAGGTTTGAGAGGAGCTGCAGATCCCCTGGAGACTGACCCACAACATTCCTGCAGATCCTTCTGCACCACTCACAAGTCAGTTGGTGAAAAACTCAAGAAAATGGACGTTAATGTTCTCAGAAAGCAAAAGTGTTTCTTAAAGATGCTTTGATGTGCATTCACACTTTGTTAACCTTCTGCGTTTGATCCTAAACCTCCAGCAGCATCGTGCGTCGCCGCCACAAACCGGCAGCGCTCACACACGTTGTAATTTCACTAATGAAGAAAACTTTAAAAGAATAAAAGTCGGATTTTCTGGTACAGTTCAGTGAGAATCGCTGCCGTCGCTGCTGCAGTCTGCGAGCAGTCGACACTCTCCCGCCCAAAGAAGATTTCAAGCTTAACACTTAAGACTTTTGGTCCTGAAGTGACTGTCTGCTACCCAGTCAAGAGGAACAAGTGTATGTCAGACTTAGAAAAGTGCTGGGAGCTCAATTGCATTAAAGCTCTTAGTTTGCCTGAGCTCCAATCTAATTGGATAAAGCTGGAAAAGCAGCTTCCAATGTGCATGAATCCATTTTTCCTCCCTCTTTTTTTTTTTTTTTTTTTTTGGAGGAGAGATGCTCCCCGTGTTCTGTTCCAACCCGTCTTTTGTCCTTGTCAACATTCCCCAAATGAGATTCCCAAAATCAGGAGGTGAGCAGCACGCATGCACGAGTGCACAGAGCAAACATTGTCAGACAGACACACCTCTCACACCAGCACGCCGGCTGCCATCTCTTCTTTTCCTGTCCTTATTAAAATTCCATATTGAGATTCCTCGCTGCCACTCCGCCTCCCTGGCCCTGTCACTCAGCCACCAACCGGCGACAAAATCAGCAAGTTTCAACAAAGACACACACATATGCATAGAGACACACAATCCAAACTTTTCTTAAGACAACTCGTCCCTGCTGCCGCCCTTTATGTGTGGGATGAAAGTTTCCTTTAGGTGATATGTATGAGAGCCGGTATCGGCGTCTCTCTCCCCCCCTCTCTCCTGCCTTCCCCGTCTCCCCCCTTCTCATTGTCATTATTTTCGATGGTGTCCCCCTCTGATCTGCCGAGCCTTTGGGTGCTCTCTTTCCTCTCTCTCTGTCTTCCTCTGGTCCCTTTCATCTGTCAGGCGCTCCCCTTGGCGACCGCCACTGAGGGGGTTTGATTTCCCATCATGCCTAGCATTGCCTCCCTGACTCCCGGCTCCCCCCCTCCTCCCCCTCCGAGGCGAGTGTTGTGCCCCCGCGTCGTCGGGCAATTATCCCCGGGAGTAATGAGGAGCGTCTCTCCCGGCGCGCCGCTCTGACTGACACCTCTCCCACTCATTTGTCAACAAATCAGACGGCTGGTGTGGGCGGCCATATTGAGCTGAGGGTTGTCGCAGGCTGAGGCGCATCGCGGCGTCTCTGCCTCTCTCTCTCTCTCTCTCTGTATCCTCCTCCATCCCTTCCTCTCTATCTCTGCCACCTCGTTATCTCTGACAGGGTGTCACTCGTTCCAACTCTCACTCCTCCTATGTCAGCCCTCCATACGCTGCGATGTATTTGTGTTGCTCAGCCGGCAAGAAAAGTCTGACTTCCAATAGGCCTAATGGTCATATGTGGCTAATGATCACTAAGCTGAATAAGTGACACTATTCAATTTATTTGTGTCAAAGTCAGCCAGCCGCTGTAAACACCCAACGAGACCGTAAAGAGTGATTAAGGGGGAAATATTTTCAGCTCCTTTCAATTTGTCACCTGTGGTCGATGCAGCTGTGGAGGACGTGTTCGTCTTGCTGGCCGTGGCTTTAATGTGCCACACTTTAAAGATGTGAGCCGTGCATGCAAGGAAACGTGCCTCAGACGTGTCTGTGTGAGTCGAGTGTGTACTCACTGTGCTCTTTGCGCTCCTCCGGGCTCGACGAAGCCTCTCCATCAGACAGCAGGCCGGACATGGAGAACAGCTTCCTCCCGGAGTCCTCCACGGCCTTCAGGGAGCCTCCGAGGGAGCCAAAGTCAAACTCCTTCCCCTCCACGTCCGGGAAGCAGCTCTTCAGCCTCTTGGCGGGGGTGAAAGCCGACTGGTAGCCCCCGGACTCCCTCTCCTCCTGCGGGGAGGAGAACGGCCGGAAGGCGCCCACGCCGCTGTGGTTGAGCATGCCCAGGGTGGAGCAGTCGAGGTTCGGAGGGGTGAACTGGGGGTGCAGGTGGAGCAGGGAGGCCGGGAAGTCTCGGGCCGGGAAGGTGCCCGACATGGGGCCCTGGCGCTGGTACATGGAGGTGAAGGTGTAGGAGGCCGAGGGGAAGGGCAGGTGGAGGTCCTTCTCCACGGAGGCGGGGACGCCGAAGGGCCGGGGAGCCTGGCAGGGGACGGAGGCGTCCCTGCCGGCCTCGGCGGTGGAGGCCAGCACCATGAGGGCGGGGGAGGCCAGCGGCGCCGGCAGGTAGGAGGGGCTGTCCATCTTGAAGGGGCGGTGGAGGTCCATTCACCTCCTGATTAGTGGATCTGAGGAGGAGGAGAAGAAGAAGCAGCACAGAGAGGCTCAGCTGCAGCAGGAACAGAAATCCTCCAGCAGAAAATGTTCTTTTATGTTGTGAAGTTTGACTCAGGCTGTAACAGAAAATCATTTTGGTTGATGTTACAGGAAAATCTCCATCTCTTCACTCAGTCAAACACACCCAGTCACAGCTCTGCAAAAGGCATTTTTACAATTACAGCTTTGGACTAATTTCAGCAGAAAAAGGGGTTGGAGGAGGCCTACTGTGCCTGTAAATAATTACGACGGAATAAATTGCCAATAAAACACACACGTAGCAGGAGCCTGCAAAGGATAAATTTAATAGTGAGGTCTAAGCGATTAGATTAGGGGGAAATCATAGAAACGCATTTGGGGAAGAAAAAAAACAACTAAACAGGATGATTCTTGTTTTGTTTTTGCTGTAATGAATTGATTGTATCAGTAAATCAATAAAGTGGAAATTATGTTAATCATGTCCAGTTAAATAAAATGAAATAATCGGTGGTGGGTCTATTTAAGCAGAAAAAAATAAACATCCAAAAGTTTCTCCACATTTTTTAAAATTAAATATGAAATCTGCACAGAGTCGTAGAGGATTAATTAACTGTTTAGTTTCTTTAAAATATGAAGATAAAATGATTTCTCTAATTAGATATAACGTTGTTTCTTAAACTTATATTTAATTAATTAAAAAATATATATTGCAATTACTTCTGGGAAAAGGCCTAAATAATAACAAAGTTTAAACCCACTTTTCAACACTTTCAGTCTTTTCTTTTTAAGTTTAGGAGCCAAAAGTGGAAACTTACGAGGCTGAAAATGAAACGAAAACACTTTACGCCAACAAATTGGAAGAGAAAACAGCCTAAATATTCTAAATAAATGACAATTACTCACCCAAGAGAGCAAAAGAGGTCCGCATTTAACCCCAGAACTACTACTTATTCAAAGTCTTTACATTTTTCCAAACTCAGAGCAGTTTTGCAGCAGCAGCGCACAAGTTCTGCTCACTTCAGAAAAAAAAAAAACAACTACAAAGCCTCAGAGCCGACAGAACACATGGCAATCAAAGAACCAATTAAAGCAATTAAAGCAAATGAAGCTGTAATCACTCGTGTTATCACGGAGCGTCGGTCGGTACTTACCGCGATGAAGTACTCAAAGCGGAGATTTACGTCCAACTCTGCCTCTCTCTCTCTCTCCCTGCGTCTCTTTCAACTTTAATTTCAGCGGCACTTTTCTCCCGGTTGCGCAGCGAAGAGAGGGAGCGAGAAAAAAGGAAAACGGCAGCAGTTTGTTCTCGGTCCTCCTCCAGATGTTTGGCGAGCCTTTACGCGCCGAGTCGAGCTGCGCGCGGTGTTTGGAGACGCGGAGCCGCGCTGCGTTTTCTGGGCAGATCGAAGCGCCTCCGACTGGACTGCAGGGTCTCAGAGTCTCTGCTGGTCTGTGCGCTCTGTGACAGCCTCCCCCCGCCACAGCTCTCTACACCCTGCCCTCTTCCTCCGTAGCCTCGTCCCCCCTCTCCCCCCCTCCACCCCTGCGCTCTCTCCCCCCCCTGAGACGCGCAACCAGCGATGGACACATTCAATTTCTTGACTTGGTTTGTGTTGAGTTACAGTGAAATTGAGAATAAAAAACACACAGACAGAGAATTCAGTTTGCACAGAAGACAAAATGACAAGAAAACTTGAAAACACATCATGAATGGGGGATAAAGAGTCAAGAGCTGGATTTTGAAATAAGAAACAACTATATTATTAACAGTCACACCTTTCCAACTTCTGCTGCACACATGCACTGACATGAAGTTTTCTACCATAAAAAGCAGAATGCTTCATGTGAATCCAACCCGAGTTCACCTCCAACACATGGCTGTCTGCGTGCTGGTGTCACAGCTCTGATATCAGGTGGATCTTGTGCAGGCCTCCAGTCCCGCCTGCCTGATTGACACTTGGGAATATTCCCTTTTGATGAGACACAATGCAAACCAATGGCATTATTTGTCACAGATAATCTGCTTTCGAGTCCAACACATTACACACAGTGTAATATCTGCATTATTCATATCTGATTTCCAGCACATTGTCAGAAAGCACAGCTCAGAGCGCCACAAATCAGCCCAAATCACTCTTAATTTGTTTTTATCGGTATTGGTATTGCTTAAAGACTTTTTGAAATAATGTAATTGAAATAATTCCTTATTCCCCGGAGCCAATCCAGAGGCTTTACACCGCTAATCTAATGTGACACGCAATTTCCGTCTCTCAGACGATTGCTTCCCCTCAGGTCCCTGTCTTTAATGAACAGCCATTTGGCTGTGAGCCTGTGTGTGTGCATGTGTGTGTGTGTGTGTGTGTGTGTGTGTGTAATCAGAGAGCGAGACTCAGTCCTGAGATAGGAAATGAGTGAATTGGGAATATCACAGCCAAGTAGAAGAAGACACAAGGAAGAGGGTTTGTGAGAAGCTGCAGATCAGCCTGAAAACACAGCACATGATTGGGATATAAGAGCAGATATAGAGTGAAGCGGCTCGGTTAGGCCGGACGCTTCATCCTGCTGCCTCCTCTCACACCTACAGACAGCCGGCTGCTGAGGAGGTCCAGACAGCAGATGCAGACCTTTAAGTGGACACGTAAAGCAGACTGAGTGTGTAGCAGCGCTGCCCTCAGACCAGCATGGGAGAGTGTAACACATGTCTTCTTTGTGACAAGGCAAGGTCATTACTCCACTTAGAGAGCAGCCTCTCACTCCCACATTGTTTTGGGGTTAGACAGCCGAATGCCATCACACACCCACACAAACACAGAGACTCTCAGGCCCCGCTAAGGCAAGGAGGAACAAACATGGTGGGACTTGGGGCGAGGACACCCTCTGCTTCATTACAAATCAATAACCGAAACGCTTCCTGGAAGCTCCATTCCTAGAGAAAGGATCCTAATTTGCCAGCTGATCAGCGAACACTACAAGTGGCTCCATTGTGATTATTATTTCCTGCCCGTCGCTGCGGTTTGGCCGGCGTGCTCGTGGCTGTGGGTGGTGTGCAGTGCATGATGGGTGTGTGTCCTGCAGGCCCAGTGAAGTGTTAATGATGTCCCCGCTGCCTCAGCCAGGTTACGGCACAGGGGCCGTTAGCCGCCCAGGGTAAACTGCATGGCTCCCAGAATAAATTGCCACCCGAAGCCACGCAGGCTGGTCAGCCAGCCAATTACAGGCCTGCCCGCTCAGCTGAGGATGATGGGATGCGATGTTAATTGTATGCTTTCATTTTCTGGCAGGAGGTGAGTCACTCGGCTGTCGTCTTGACTGCCATACACACACTCTGAGCGTTACATCTTAATGCGTGCAGTTTATGCTTCTTTTTGTTGGTTCGCATTTATCTCTCTTTTTTTTTTCTTTTTCTTAAATCGAACCGTTTTCTAGCATTTCAGTTTTACAGCTTCGTTTCTGCGGTTTTATCGGAGCCGAGGTGAATTAAATCAACACGATGAGCGTTCTTCACTTCTTTTATTAGGATGCCAGAGGTCATCCGCGGAGTCTTTTAACTTTCTCGATGTGTAATTGGACAAGTGAACAGTAAATAGTTTGATTTTTTTCTTTTTTTATTCTCCTCCTTTAATTCCCAGCTCTTTTTATCCGGGGCATCGAGTAAACAAAGTTACTACTGTAATCATTTCCACACACCAATTAGTGATAATTACTTTTTGCTGTGAGACTCACAATGCCCTATTATTGCAGAGCAGGATTCAAACTAAATGAAAAGCAAAAGATAATAATAATGATAATAAAAAAAAAAAAGCAGGCGAGAATGAAGCTGCTGGTGAAGCTAAAAGAGAGATTTTTAGAAAAATTTCCGCCGTTGCAACAACAAGTGCAGGATTCTGGCAGCGTCAGCGGCGAAGATGAAGAGAGCTCAGTTCTCTGGAGTCAGTTGGGTGGTAGTTGTGCAGCGGAGTGCTACACTCTGCTCAGTATATCAACATAGGAGACTGTCTGGTAGCAGTGCTATGGAGAGAGAGGTTAGCTACTATATTAACATAGGGAGAGACAGCGCCAGAGCACAGCAGTCTGCCAAAGACTAAGCAGTGCAAGTGAGACAGAGAGAGGCCATCGACCAGACAGCTACAAGATGGAGTGGAAGGGAACGTGTGAGAGATGAGCTGTCCAACATGTGACAATGTGTGTGTGTTAAAGTGTGTGTTTGTGTGTGTGTGTGTGTGTGTGACAGCTCCCCAAAGCAGCCAGAGAGCGTGAATGTGAGGACGAATACAGAGAGGTGCATTATGGTCTCAATCATTGATCGCTTCCTCCCATGGGGGGGTGGTGACACAAACGCACACACACAACACTTTCACACGCGCACACACACACACACGTCAGTATCTTGCATGTTTTCACATTCCCCGCACACCGTTGCAGGTCGGACCGCCGTACTGTTTGCATCAACTTTGTCTCTTTGCTCCTGAACCGAGTGCAGTTTTATCAGAACACTGGAGCTTCAGAGGACATGATGCTTTTTAAATTATATTACAACTTAAGAAGTAATATTTAAACAAATACCACAAGTTTCTATCTCTGTGTCTGCAATGAGGCGACTCATTTTCCTCCACGTTTTATCTTGTTTTCTTTTTGCAAAGTCGTCACACATTTAAGTACAAAGCTGTGAAGTTAAACCAGAAACTCCATCATGGTCAAAAAATAAACAAAAAAAAGAGGACTTGAGTCAGTAGTGGAACTCCAGAAGGCATCCACTTGTTCTGTTGTCTGACAACAGAAACAACAACACATGCTAAACACAAGCAGCTTCATTGTGATCTCAACTGTATTGAAGTACAGTTTATGCGAGCACAGAGAGCCGGAGAGAAGCTAACGGACAGAAAGTGCCTCCTGTGTGTTTTCTCTGCAGGTGTTTGTGCTGCTGTGGTCTGACATCCAAACTCTGCACCGTTCAGAAACCACCGCTTTGTTCT